ATTATAGATATTAAGTTATGATTTGTTACTCCCTCTTGAACATTGGTGAAACTGGCTTCCTGGGTGTTTAAAACCAAAAACTTAGCCAAAGTCAAGGAAGTAAAAGGGCCGAGCAAAAAACAGCCAATATTTTGGCACTTACCCTCTAAGGTCCGCCAGGAGCTGGGGAACAGAGGACCCTCTCTGGGCCCTGCAACTCTAAGCCACTGAGGGGACCTAAAGAACAGGAAGCCAACCAGTGACATTCTGCCAAGAGGAGGGTCGCTAGAGATCTCCCTGGTGCTTCCAAGAGAAGTCATGTTTGATAGCCAGACCCGGACCCATCCTGGCAGGTGGCTGGCAGAGGAAAGCTAAAGGACAGGCAGGAGGCTTCGCACATGTCCCCAAGAGTGACCCCTGAGGAATCTCAGCTGACTCTTAAGACTAGATAGAAACAAGGTCAGTTTCTACCAACTTGGTCTTAAACAGCTGGCAGGAGAGTAGAACCTAAAAGCACAGTCCTACATGGACATTTAAAAGAAAAAAGATAATGTTTTAAAATATGAATTAAGATGTACTTATGTCAGCCCTACTAACAGTCGTAAAGCTCAAGGCTATAAAGGAAGGGTTCTTGGCTGTGAGTGCCTAATAATAGTGATCACAAGAGTTACGGATTCATCCTGAGTTGATCTGAGTCTGATTCCATAGACCTACGAATCTTCCTAACCTCTTTTACATTGAATTTGATCTGTTTTTCACTGATAAGATTATGAGTTACTGTACTTGTGTTTTTTAAAGACTGGCTGAAATATGAATTGTTTGTGCTGATTGCTTACGAAGAAGTATTGCTTTGCTGTCTTTATCACTGTCTTAGCATGACCCCTGCCCTAGGTGTGCCTTGTCCAGTCACCTGCCACCTGCCACTTTGGACTTCAGGATTGCTCTGATGCTGAATGCCTTAATGATCCATGACTTACCTGACAGAGAACAAGGATTCTGGGTTACTTCCCCCAACTTCACCCCCTTTTAGCAGGAAGTTGTAGCCCACTTTCCATAGAAATGGAATGTAGAAGTTGACGGTGGGGAATTGTAACAGGGTTCACTTGATGCTTTGACTATATCCCTTGTGGCTTTGAAACTTACACTTTTTTCTTTTTCCGAATCTTCTCTTCCCTAAACTTCTCCTCCCTGATCTCTCCTCCCTAATCTCATTTTCTCTGAATCACCTCTATAAAAGCCCTTGTTCATGCAGATGGACAGAATCATAGCCTTTGGGACAGAATCATAACCACCCCCCCACCCCCCCACCCCCCGCCCCAAGCAGGAAGGCCAGAGTTGGGCTGGGAAGCAGAGGGAGTTGGGAGGAGAGGTGAGTCAGGAGGAGTCAGACCAGGAGCAGGGAGGGCATCTTACTTTTTCTCCTTTGGTAGCAAAGCAATAAACCTCCTTTTTCATTTTTCTCAGAACCACGTCCTCCTTATTGAATTGGCAAGGGGACAAGGACTGAGTTTTCAGCAACAGTGATGACCAAGTCTGCTGACTGAGCGAACAGAGATTGCTTGGAGTTTTGTGCTCTTGCATTTGAACACAGTTCTGACCTGTTCCAACCCTGCTTATAAGCATGAGGATAGAAAGTCCCATGGTCATAAAGAGGCTGATTCACAGTGGGTAGGGAGAGGGAGCATGGGGGGAATAGAGGAGTCTAGACAGGGCAGAGGGGTGGGAGGGAGGGAGGGGGCAGGGGTTATTAGTGATGGTGGAATGTGATGATCATTATTATCCAAAGTACAGGTATGAAGTCACGGATGGTGTGAATATACTGTGTAGACAACCAGATGTCTGAGAAACTGGGCTCTATGTGTGTAATAAGAATTGTAATGCATTCCGCTGTCATATAAAAATAAAAAAGGGAAATGCTAAAAATATATATTTCTTTTTTTTTTTAAGAGAGAGAGAGAGAATTTTAATATTTATTTTTTAGTTTTCGGCGGACACAACATCTTTGTGTGTATGTGGTGCTGAGGATCGAACCTGGGCCCCACGCATGCCAGGCGAGCGCGCTACCGCTTGAGCCACATCCCCAGCCCCGAAAAAAATATATATTTCTTGATTGAGTTGTGATTAAAAAAAAAAGAAAAAAGAAAGTCCCATGGACCATTTTCAAAATACAGTATTTAGCCCTAAATGTGACATCACTGGGGATGTTAAAAAAAAAAAAAAAAAGACAAAGGGGTCGTGAAGAAATGGTCACCAGCCCTTAACTCCTTAGTGGGACAGATCCCATCCCCTCCCTCGACAGACAGGTGAGGAGAGGGGCCTCTGTTCCTCAAGTCTCTAGTGGGTTCTCTGGGTTAGGATTGTGGTGTGCAGTGTACAAACAGGCTTGACGGGCGGGGCCTCAACGGGCCAGGATCCCCAGGGCAGGCTCTGTAGCTACCTGTGTGGCTCAGGATTGATGAGGATCAGTAGGTCTACCTGATGCTATCTCTGTCCTTCCACAAAGTCCTGCTTGTTCTCAGGTCTTGGATGCCCTTGGGGACTTGCCTGGACGTCCTTTTGTCTGAGGAGAGGGCCCCAGAGTCAAAGTTCACTTGAAGTCCTCCTAGACCTCCTGCAGGCGGGGTGATCAGAGTGTCTGCCTGAGGCTTTTTTCTCTTTAATATTTTTAAGTTGTAGATGGACAGAATACCTTTCTTTTATTTGATTTTTATGTGGTGCTGGGGATTGAACCCAGTCCCTCACGCTTGCTAGACAAGCGCTCTAGCACTGAGCCACAGCCCGGGCCCATGCCCTGAGGCTTCAATGCCACAGCTAGCTGCCCAGTGGCCCCCTGAAGCCTGGGGATGGACTGCTGCAATGCTCCTGGATGTGGGTGCCCCTTGTCCTGGTAACCCTGGCCGGCCAGTGCAGAAAGGTGCCAGGCTCTCTCACTAGGCTGAGAGAGGTGGGAGGAGGAAGGCTCCTCCAGGACACTGTTGGCTCCCCTGTTTCCTGGTCCACAGGGGAGTGGGAGGGGACCTCCAGCTCTGCTTGCTGTGGCTGCTGGCCACCCTCAGGCCTTGGGCGGGGGCCTAATATCTTTCCTCCCCACTCTTCCTGGAGGGCAGCTGCTCTTATCTGACTCCCTGGGGACCAGTTTACTTGCACTGTGGTCACATCTGGCTCTGAACTCCGTGGAGGGTAGGCCCTCACTCTCTGGTTTAAGTGCAAGGCGTCCTGGGGCCTGATTCCCAGCCGGTGTGGGAGCCATGGGCCAGGGCTGCTCTCCAAGGGCACAGAGGGATCCTGTGGGACTCCCCACACCCTCAGCAAGGGGCAGGAATTACAAAAGAGCGGCCCCAGGGGCGCCCTGACCTGCAGAGCAGTGGCCCTAGGGGTGCCCTGACCTGCAGCCAGAATGGAGCTGCCCCCCCCCCCCCCCAAGCATGAAGGCCAGAGTTGGGCTGGGTAGCCGAGGGAGGAGGGAGGAGAGGTGAGTCAGGAGGTGTCAGACCAGGAGCAGGGAGGGCATCTTACTTTTGCTTGGGTGGGCTACAGACCCATGTGTGGCTTGGGAGGAAGGAAAGCTCGGCAGAGGGAGAGGCCTGAGGCCCTGGTGGAGCCCTTCAGCTCTGCTGGCTGGGCCATAGCGCTATTGCATGTAGGTGAGGACGACTGCAGACTCCAGTCTGCTCCCCTGCTCCTCAGACCTCAGGCCTCACTGGTCTGAGCTGTCACTTCAAGAGGGTCCCCGCCCCCCAGAACTAGCAAATGGCACAGCTGGTAAACAGGGGTTTGAGACTATGCTGGTGAGCACTGAATTTCCAGCCGTCTTCCAGGGCCTGGAGAAGGCTGAGGGGGACACAGGTTGTTCCCCATGTAGGGGCCTGTCCACTTCTACAGACGTTTTTCCACGTCCCCTGCCAGGAGTTCTCAGGAAACATTCTGGAACAACTAAGTGCCCACTTAGTTCTCGGAGGCCCAGCAACCGCAGCGCAGAGCTGTGGTGCCTTTCTTTCCTACCATCCAGCGAACGCCCTGTTTCCAGCAGGGATTTCCTCCAGGGTGGGCGGCCTCTTCGGGGTGGGGGGTTCTGGACACGGACCCTGTCGCAGGACGTTGGAGAGAAGATGCCTTCTTAATTGCTTGGCTGCCCACTGCTGACCCCATTTAAAGTACCCCTGGCATGGGGAGGAGGCCGAGGCTGCAGAAGTACCCTTTACCTCGCCATGTGGCCACAGCGAACTAAAAACCGACGGCCGAGGGCCAGGAACGGAGAGCCACACGTGGTTCTCACGCCGAAACGCTGAAATCCCAGGATGCTATGGCGGCGACGGGACCATAGGAGGCGGCCGACCGGGGTGGCGCGGTCCCCTAGCGGGAGGTGGCACCTAAGAGATCGCAGGGCACCGAATTCCCACCCGCACGAGGCGCTGCCCTGGACGCGCTGGCGCTCCTTCCACGGTCCAGCTTCTAGTCCCGCTTTGCGGCTACCCGGGGCTGCAGGGCTGCGCCTACCCCCGGCTCACTCACACCCGGGAGGAGACCCTGGGCTGCACCCAGGGCGGGACCCACCGGGACCCGCCCCCTCGCTGGCTCAGGGCTCCCGGTCCCCTAACCCGGGTTTGAGGAGGCCGAACGGGTCCTCGGTGGGCGCGGGATGCAGGCCTCCAACTTGTATATTCTCGGACCCGAAACGGAGGGGAGCTGACGGAAAATGGGATCTGCGCTTTTCTCCACAAGAGAACAACACAGGGGCCGCACGGCTGAAGTCTAGGGCGCGCGCACGAAGCCCAGCTGGATTCCTAGTGGACTCACAGCCCCTCATCTTTGCGCACGGCGGAGAGGTCTGGGTAGTTGGAGGAGCAGGTGCACCCGGCCCGCCGCGCCCTCCGCCCGCTGGCTCCCCGCCCACCGCCAGCCCCGGCCCGGCCCCTCCTCCCCTCCCCCCGCCGGCCCCTCCCTCCCCCGCCGGCCCCTCCCCCGGCGCTCCGCGGTCGCCTGGGCCCCGCCCCGCCGGAAGGACAAGCGCGCCCCGGGGCTGGCGGCGCGCGAGGCTGGGGCTCAGCCCTGGGTTGGGCTCTGCCCGGGATTGGAGTCCGCGCTCTTGTGGGGTCGGCGGTCCGCCCCCATGGAGCCCGCCGAGCGCTTGCAGGCGGCGCGGGCCCGGGTGCCCAGGTGGGTGGCGAAGGCCGAGTCCGAGCCCCGGGGGCTCCTGCGGGGGCGCCGCGCTGCGGGTGGCCAGGGAGGATCCCGGACAGTGGGGACTGGAGGCGAGGGTCGGGAGCGACGGGGAGTCCTGCAGTGAGGCGGGATCGGGGAGGGAGGAGGCCCGGCAGGGACTCGGGGTGTCAGGGAGGGAGGAGCCTTAGGCAGAGAGGGGGTCTGCGGGGTGCAGGGTCCGGCGAAGGCGCGACGGGAGGGACGCGGGTCCGCGGGGTGCAGGTCCGGGAGCGTCCGGCCGGGGAGGGGGTTGCGAAAGGAGGAGGGGCCGGCGGGAGGCCGGCGGGGGGTCGCGTCCTGCACACTGCCTTCTCCAGCGGGCGAGGGAACTTGGATTGGAAAACAGAATTTCCTTTGTGTCTAGGGTCGATCCGTATGGGTTTGAGAGGCCCGCAGACTTTGATTACGCAGCTTACGAAGAATTCTTTTCCACGTACCTGGTGATACTCACCAAGAGAGCCATAAAGTGGTCCAGACTTCTGAAGGGCGGCGGCGCCGTCCGGAGAAGCGCCACAGGTGAGGGAGCCAGAGGACTGCACCACCCACCCCTTCGCGACGGGCGAAGTCCAGCTCCTTCCCCCAGGCGCTGGCGGGGAGGCTGCTTCTCCAGACGCAGCACCCGGAAACAAAGCCCGTCTTCTACCTTCAAAATCAGATGGGGCAGGCTCTCCTTTGCCCCTTCTTCACGGAGAAAGTGGGAGTTGAGGGAGTGGGCCCTGTCCAGACCCCCGTGTTTTCCCCGGTCACTGTCCAAGCCACAGGTGTTATTTATGTGCTGATCTTTTGTTTCCTTGCTGAGAGTCTGCGCGTCCTGCAAAGTGGCTTGACCAGGATGGTGACTTCAGTATTTGTTAAGTGGGCAAGGCAGTGTTGGCCTGCAAGAGGCCACATACAGACCTCCAGCTCACCAGCAGGGCAGTGCCTCCCAAGCCGGGCCAGTGAGGGCTAGGCTTCAAGGGACAGAGCTGGATGAGCCAGATGGTAGAGGTGTGAGGGAGAGTAGACATGAAGCAGAGGACCCTGCACTGGCCTGAGGGCCTAGGGTGCTGTGTGGACAGTGAGCAGACAGAAGCACCTGACTCTTTTTTAAAAATCTTTTTTTTAGTTGTAATTGTACACAGTACCTTTATTTTATTTATTTTTATGTGGTCCTGAGGATCCAACCCAGCGCCTTGCTCCGGCTAGGCTCTACGGCTCAGCCCCAGCCCTGCCCCAGCCCCAGCCCCACACCTGACTCTTGAAGGGTTTTAAAGATGTCAGCAGAGTGTTCCTAGGCTGTGCTGGGTTGAGGGACAGAGGACTGGGGTGGGGAAGCTGGTCCCTGCTCAGCCCCTGGGCTTCTTGCCCCTGCCTCCCTCCAAGGCTGTTGCTGGGAGGTTGGGTGAGAGGGTGGGTAAAGGCTCCCAGTGTAGCATACAAGGCAGAGCCCAAGGGACTGCAGGGGTGGCTCGCCTTGGCTTTACAGCCCTGAAGTCAGGGTCCTGGGTGTCCCACAGGTACCCTGCTGTCCCTTCCTGTCACCTGTTTGTCCATGCTCCAGCAAACACGTACCTTTACTTTTCTTCTTTTGGGCTTATTCTTAAAAGTTGTCTTTTAACTTAAGATGTCACATGTTGGTATGCATATCGTGTTTGCACTGTGCGTGATAGGTACAGGTACAGTGTGTGTGTGTGTGTACATATATACTTGAAAACATGCAAGATTACGCACAAGGGAAACATTCCGGTCACACTAAGGGTTGGAAAATGAAGTTGTTTATTGCCTGCTCTAGGCCCCAGCCTCTCATACAAGTGACCACTAGGGACTGTCCAGGTGTCCCCCAAGAGCAGAGGTGCCAGCACACAGGCTCACAACTAATGGCATGGGCTCTGCACCACAGGGGCCCAGTGGGAAGAGTCCCTGAGGGATGTGTCTCCTGTGAGACCAGGGCACGTTCCTTCTGTCTGGCTTTGTTGTTGATCCCATGCTGCTTCCCTTCTGTGAGTGGTGGGAGCCATGTTCGGCTCACCTCCGTCTCCCCATGATGGGGGTCTAGCTGGAGCAGGAGTAGAAGGCATCTGGGAAGCAGTCTGCATGCAGAATATAAAATGCTCCCAGGCTCTCGCTCTAGTCCAGCGGTTTTGCTTTGCTTTGCTTCTTTTGAGCACTATCTTAATTCTTTTTAAAAATTTGACTTAGTTTTTATTGAAGTAGCCTTTTCCTGCTCACATTTCTTTAGTAATGCAAAGAGACTGTGATTATGGTAATGAGCACAATCACTGTCAAAGGACTGTGGGGAGATCATTGTGCCACTCAGGGATGCTCAGCCTGAGGACTGGGAGCCACCAGCATCAGCCTGAGGTTCTGCTCAGTCTGGTAGGGGTGAGGGGGTCTGCACCCTGTGTGTCCTTGCTGGCACAAGGTGTGGTTTCTGGGTCCCTTACTGTGGACACAAGGCCCTTAGTACAGGCAAAACTCCAGGTGGACTGTGAGGTCTGAAATAGGAGAAGATACAGGCTTTCCTGCCAGATGATCTGGGTGGGTGCAGTTGGGTGGCAGTGTGCTCAGCTTCAGGCCCCTGGGTCACCAGGCGCCCCTCCAGTGTGACGTCGCACTCACTGGGTGTTTGTCATGTTGTGGAGGCATGTCGCCCACCTTTTGTGTGTCCAGTAGCACAGTTACCTACAAATGTTGGCATTCAGTGTGTCTTCAGACACACTTACTCTGCTCAGTGCCCTGTTTGTGGGTACAGGGCACACGTTATTTTTCTGTTGTAAGTGTCTGCCAGCAGCCCTATAGCCTGTCGCTCCTGTAGCCTAGAAAGACTGACCTCGGCACACAAGGTTCTGCTCTCCTGTTTCATTTCCTGTCTGGGTGTGAAAAGGACTTCTTTCAGATCTCCTTCTGAGTTGCTTAAGATGTTAACACATCTAAACGAAAATTAAATTACAGTAACATTTTCAAAGACAAATGCCAAAATATGTGACTTTTCTTCCTTTGTCAGGGCAGACAGATGGAAGCTAATTCTCTGGGTACATCTGTGCGCAGGCCCTGCCCTTGGGAGAGGGTCAGTCTGGAAGGACAAGAAACCATTCCATTCCCTGCTAAAGAAACAGTGTAGGTTCAGATAGCAAACTTGTCAAAAAGTAGCAAAAGCTTTTGTTCTGTGTAACCTGCAAGTGTGGCTGCCATTGCCAGATCCAGCCAGGCCTCGGGCACCCTTGTCCTTACCCTGACACCAGGTCGTGCTCCGTCTCTCTGTGTATTTGAGACTGAGCTCCCCAGGTGTGCAGTTTATGGTCAGCAGAGCAGTCGTCTCCGGCTTGTTTGTCCGGGGGAGAGAACCCAGGAGCATCTTCCCAGGAAGCCACATCCTGGCACTTTATAATTTTTGAGACAGGATCTCTCTGAGCCGCCCAGGTTGTCCTCAAACTTGTAGTGCCCCTGCCTCAGCCTTCCCAGTTACTGGGATCACAGACGTGCATCCCTGTGCCCAGGCAGAGCAGGTGTCTGAAGTCGAAGTTGGTGTGTGTAACCATTTTGCCCTTTCATTCAAAACAAAACAAAACTTTATATTGCCAAATTATTTTTTAAATTTACAGGAAAGCATTTTTACCTGTGTGTATTTCTGGGAGTTTAGACATAGTCTTCACCATAGTGAAGATTCAAAACAGTTCTATCTCCTTCAGAAATTCCGCTTCTTGCCAAGTGTGCTGGTGCAAGCCTGTCATCCCACAGAGGGCTGAGGCAGGGGGAGATCATGAATTCAAAGCCAGCCTCAGCAACTTGGCAAGACCCTGTCTCAAAATAAAAAATAAAATGGGCTACAAATGTGGTTCAGTGACTGGGCACCCATGGGTCCGATCCCTGGTACTGGGGTGTGGGTTTCACCCTGCCATCAGCTCCCCCACTGGCAGCTGCCCATCCGCTCTCTGTTGTAAGGGGCGGAGCTTTCCAAGCGCATTTGGACACCATGCATCGGACTCCTGGGACCCTCTTGTGTACTTGGTGGCTCACTCCCGCCCGTTGCTGAGAGTGACGCACTTTCTGGATCTCTCTAGCCATCAGTTGATATTTGGGACGTGCCCAGTCGACCCTGTAAACAGGCAGGTGCTTCTGTGTGAACTTAGCTCTTTCCTGTCTCTTGGAAAACAACCTAGGACTGGAATTGCCGGGTCATGTCAAAGTTTGATTAGTAAGAAATTGCATTTCCTAGCAGATGCAGGGTTTTAGGTCCAGTGCCCACTCCCCACACACAAAAAAGGAAAAATAAGTTGCAGATTCTTTTTCTAAACGACTGTTCAATTTTGCATTTCTCCCAAAACTGTATGAACACTCAAGTGGCTACGCTTTCTTGTTACAATTTTATTTTTTTTAATCCATTCTTTCTTTTGGACAGATTATTCTTTTTTTAATGTTTATTTTTTAGTTGTAGTTGAACACAATACCTTTACTTTATTTATTTATTTTTATGTGGTGCTGAGGATCAAACCCAGCGCCTCGCACGTTCTAGGTGAGCACTCTACCGCTGAGCTATAACCACAGCCGCTGGACAGATTATTCTATGTGCAACTTTGTCAAAAGACACTCGATTCTGTCTGTGTGAACCCCTCTCTGGTTCTTTCCTGTGTCCATTAATCCACTTGCGTGGCCTTTCACCAACACCACATTGTTGTCACTGTAGTTATCAGTCTGCCAGTCCATGAGTGGGGCGTTTGTCTGCGTTTGCTTGGGTCTTTTGATTCCTTCTGCAGTGTTCAGCATTCAGACCCTGCAGGTGCTTCGTTTGGTTTAGACCCTTTTCTGTTACTGTTTGGTGTTATTGTAAATGACACCTTTAAATTTTTTGCTTCCTGGTTGTTCGCAGTTGGTTTGTGGAGACACCCCTGGTTTGCACGTGTCCTTTCCTTGTGGCGATTAATTTCCTCTGGTTAGAACAGTCCTTGCCGGTGTTGGGACTGACCCCTCTTGATGCTGGCCTGCAAAGAGTGACTAAATACGTTCAGAGCACTCTGGTCACTGTGCTCTCTGAGGGGTTCTGAGACCCACAGCCCAGTTTCAGTACAAATCTACTAATTTGGAGGGAAGGTCAGGTCAAATTATTAGTGTCTGCTTGAATTTTAAATGGGACCAAGCTCCTGCTCTCCGTGTTCACAAACACAGTGATTAGACAAGCTGGCTGGGATGATCTTGTTAGAGCAGGATCCTCAAGGACACTTCTAAGCTGCAAAGAGGATCTCCCAGGTTCTTTGGTTCTTGTGGATGGTGCTTGGTCTGTCCTGCCCTGCCTGGGCCTTCCTGGCCACCCACAGCTCTTGTCAGAAGTGGCTGAGCATTCCAGCCTGACTGGGAGGCCCAGTGGGCAGTGGGTGAGGCTTGTCCTCCTGGTGCCTGTATCAAGGTGCCCAGGCCCAGATGTTCATAACTGTGGGTCCCTGAAACTTGTGTTAACAATGTTTGTTACTCATGGATTTCCTGTTGGAGCCTGTGAGGTCCTTCCTAGGGCTTATGATACCTTGTGAAATTTCACTAACTGCACGAATTTTTACTTCTTTTCTTCCCGTTCAGCCAGCTGTTACTATAGCAAGACCTGAGGTCTCTCTTGGCTCACAGCTTTGGAGGCCGCCCTTGTGGGTGGTTGGCCCTGCTGTTCTGAGCCTTGGTGAGGGTGTGCATAACAGCACGAGCATAGGGCTGAGCAGAACTGCTCATCCCAAGGCCAAGAAGCAGAAGAGCAAGAGGACGAGGGGGCCGGGGGCCAGGGTCCCACAGTCCCTGTCGGGCAGAGCTCCCATTGACCCAGGGACCTCTCTGGGCCCCACTCTTAGAGGTTGCACCCTCCCAGAAGTGCCACCTGGGACCAGGCCTTGGCCATATGGCCTTGGAGGACATCTGACTTGCAAACCTTGGCATTTCCTACAGTGTGGCTACTTCAGAATGGTGTATTCATAATGTAATGGCAGAGGAACACAGCAAAGCCTTGAAAGCTCACTGTTTTGCAGGCTGATGTCATAAAGGCGCAGGGGACACCTGGTCTAATTTGATTGGCCTGTCAGTCTCACTTGGCATCAGTTATCTGAAGGGGTCTTTGAGTCTGGTCCTCTGTTTCTATGGTCATTAGAAGATTACTAATTACTGGCTGGGGATGTGACTTAGTGGTGAGACTCATGCGTAAAACAGGGTTTGATTGCCAGCACCATAAAAAAAATTACTTTTTCTTTTATTTATTTTCAATGAAAATAAAACCACAAGTTGTAGGGCTCAATATACAGGTTAACTTCAGAACCAGGACTGACCACTAGCACCACCTCCCAAGCGCCCCCAGGTCCGTGTGTGCTCACCTCAGCCCTACTGGCTCCGCCCTTCAGCCATAGTCCACGTGGGTGCTGTGCTCCTGACTGGGCCCACTGTTACTCACCGCCAGGTCGGTGTCAGCACCTGAACCTGGTACATGGGGTCCTGTGAGGGCTGCACTGCCTGAAGTTGTGCTTTGGCCCCTGCCAGTCTGCCTACAGCTCCCAGGAACAGCAGAGGGTCAACACCTGCCCCTGCCCTCTTCTGCAGAGGGCCATCTCCACCTGGCCTGGTGCCCACTCAGCACATGGTCGGCCACTGAGCTGTGCCCTTCTCTCCAGGTGGCTCTGTATCAGCTCAGGCTCAGCACAGAGGCACAGGGCTGCTGGGGTGAGTCTCCCAGGGCAGGAGCCCGAGGCAGAGCCTGGAGTCTGGCAGAGTCCACCGGGCAGGCAGAAGGGGAGGACCTGGGAGGAGCCTGAAGCCCAGGCCTGTCTCCTCAGGTGCCTGGCAGGGCAGAAGGTGAGCAGCGGTGACTGTACCGCCTCTCGTGCTGCTCTGTGGGGAGAGGAGTCTGTCTTGGAGAATTTACAGAGTGTATGTGTGGCTTGGGGAAGGCTTGACGTCTGGGCCTTCCGCCCGCGTTGTTTAGGGAGGGCAGGCGTGGGAGGCCTGCAGCCACAGGGGCACACTCAGCCCCTCCTGGTTCTGACTTGTGGGCGCTATCTGTCCTTTTGGTTCCAGTGAAACGCTACGTCCGGAAAGGGATCCCGCTGGAACACCGGGCCCGTGTCTGGATGGCAGTGAGTGGAGCCCAGGCCCAGATGGACCAGAACCCTGGCTACTACCACCGACTGCTCCAGGGAGAGCGAAGTTCCTGCCTGGAGGAGGCCATCAGGACAGGTGGGAGCCAGGGCCTGCACGTGGCGGGGTGGTGGACCAGGCAGCTCGGGCAGCAGAAGTGCTGCCCTGTGCACAGCCCTGAGGCCTGTGGAGAAAGCTGTTGTCAAAGACGCATCAGCTCGTTTAGATTTGAAATCACATTTTGGAGGAAAAATAAACTGAAGCATTCATGGGAAGGACAGTGTTTTTAATCCATCCAGAAAGTATTGGAGTGCCTGTTGGGGGAGGGCGGCAGCCAGCAGCACTGGGCACAGAGTGACAGTGCTGTGCCCAGGAACCAGTCACCAGCAACTCTCAGCTTCTTGCCTCAGGGCCCTTAGTGAGCCCTGAGCTCACTGAACTCTCAGAAGCTCAAAGTGCCGGAAGAGTTCTGACCCAAGTTGAACAGGAGCTGTTTCGGAAATAGATGTCCTCTCCAATTTTAACACCTTTTGAGAAATGTAGGTGTGAACGCGACACAGTTTTTTAAATGAACCCGTTTATGTTGAAGCACAAGAGGTTGAGGGAGGGGGGTGGCCCTGACGTGTGCAGGGCTTCGTGCTGCGGCCCTCCTGGGTTCAGTGTCCTCAGGCTCCAGCTGTGGGAGCGGGGAGGGCTGGGGGGTTGGGAGCCAGAGGCTGCATCCTGGTCACAGAACAGAAGCCCAGCCCAGGGTCCTCACGCGGCAGGGCAGAGGTGCAGATGGAGGTGGGGACAGGGGGCTCATGGAAGCCGTGCGTAGCAGAGCACATGGAATCCTGCTGTTTGTTGGAAAAGTGATTTTAAAGGTTCTGTTGAGCGTGGTTTTGGATCAGTCTTTTTGTCTTATCGTAGTAAAGGTAAAACATAAAAGTTACCATTTTATTTTGCCAAACTGAAACTGTCCTCACTGGGCACTAACCTGCCTCGCTGTCCTGTGGCCCCCCCCAGGCTCCCTCTGATGTCTCTGCCTGGCTGCCTGAGGGTCCTCACAGGAGGAATCCCCGCACCTATCCTCCTCTGAGCAGCATCCTTCTCTGAGCAGTGGCCTCGAGGTTCCTTGGGGCTGCAGAGGGTCAGGACCCTTCCTTTTAAGGCTGCAGTGTCCTGGGACGTGGGCACCACCTTTAGTTCACCCTTCGGACTCCATGGACACTGGGTGGCTCTACCACCTGGCTCTCTGCTGGAGTCGCTGCCTCTGGCCCTTGGCTGTGGGCCCAGAAGTAGGCCTGCTCGGTGGTGGTGGCAGGTGGTGGTGGCAGGTGGTGGCCTGGTGTCTAACTTGGAGGCATCTGGATGAACCGTTTTACAGGGATCGTAAGGGGGTGTTGGGTGCTCAGGGCGCCTGTGAGCCGTGGCCGCACCTGCACCCGTCCACATCAGCCTTTTCCTTTCCTATAGAACGATGAGAGCAAGGAGAAGCTTCTCCCGGCCAGGGTACCACACAGGAGCATTCACAGCTGTCTCTAGTCTGAAATAGTAAGAGCACCGTCTTTTCCCTTGATTCGTTTATTTGAATGTTGACGATTCCAGAAAGAGGTCTATCTGGGGCCTGGGTGGGGATTGGGCAGGGGTGTGGGCCCTAAGACAGGAAGAGGCCCGCAGGGAGGCCCCTCATACAGAAGCCGGCAGTGCCAGTTGATCTAGTGCTCGGGACTCAGTTTGTCCCTTTATTTCTGAGGGAGTCTCTTGTCCCACTCGCTGTGTGCTTGGTGTTCAGAACTGGGAAGCTCAGCGTGTCTGTTCATTTCTGGTTGAGTCTCCTCTCCTTCGCTGTGTGCCTGGTCTTCAGAACTGGGAAGCTGCCCGGAGCTCAGTGTGTCGTTTCCACTGGTCACCCTGGCGCGGGGAGGGCTCTTCCTGGGGGGAGCTGGGACTCAGGTGAGGTGGGCTGTGCTGGTGGGGCCAGTGTGGAAATGGACCAGTGAGGGCTGTGGCTCTGGATAGCTGCTGTGCCATCTCTGATCCCAAGAGAAAGGACAGTTAGAACTTGTTGCCTGTGTCCCCAGATTCCAAGAAAGCCCCCCTTCTTCCCGACACAGTGTGCCGCTGACCTTTCCCAGGTTGACTCAAGAGGCCACCAGGGCCAGACCAATCCTGAGGTCCTGCACAGAATCCCACGGCACTGGGGTGGACACAGAGGCTTGAGTGCTGACCTCTTTGGTGAATTTCCGTGCAGACCTGAACCGGACCTTCCCGGACAATGTGCGTTTCCGGAAGACGGCCGAGCCCTGCCTGCAGAAGACCTTGTACAACGTGCTGCTGGCGTATGGGATGCACAACCAAGGCGTGGGCTACTGCCAGGTGAGCCTTCAGGCCTTCACACCAACACAGGGTTGCTGGGGGAGCCCTGGGCCTCTGCGTGTGCTGCTGGCACAGGGAGCTTGCTCCGGCTGCAGCCAGGCCACCTCCAGGGTTCCCAGGAGAGCACTCAGGCCAGGTACCCGAGGGCCAGCCTGGTGCCGCCGTCATGGGTCGCCAGCTGTAGCCCAGGTCTGCCACAGAGTGGGAAGCAGCTTTTCCTGAGCTGGAGGTTGCGAGCTTCACATGGCCCTCCTGCTCCCTATAGCTGAGGTTGGCACCAGGTTTCCGGAGAGGATGATGACTGTGTCCTGAGCTTGGGTGATTTTGGTCCTCTTATCCTGGGCGATAGCTCCAGAAGCCCATGGTCAGTGCCAGGGAGCCCAGAGGGCATGGTTCAGGGAACAGGTGTGAACAGATGTCTGCCCAGAGCACGTCTGGCAGCTTCGGTCCCCACCTGGAGAGCCCTCACATCATTCTCTGGCTGAGCAAGTGGGTTTCAGGGTGAGAGGGTGGCTGTGTGGGCAGGGAGAGGAGCAGAGGAGGCAGAGGACTGGATGGCCTGCTGCTCGTTTCTGGCCGGATGCCGTTGGGCCAGGCTTGTAGGTCGCACTGCTGGACGCTGGTGTTGCATGCGTGGAGCTGAGGCAGGATGTCCCTCCATCCTTGGCTTGTTGCTGTTGCCACCCTCTGTCAGGGAACCAGACTGTGGCCCAAAGGAGCTGAAGCAAAATGTCTTTATATTGTTCTACTTTCTGTTCTTTTGGCTTTTAAGAACAGTTTTACTTCCAAACACAAACACAGTTTTGATGTTGGCATGACAGTGGAGCTCTGCTGCTTGGACCCCACACACTGCGCATTCTCCGAGTTGGCCAACTGAGGCCCTGACAGGCACACACCACGTGGCTGAGACGCAAGTCCATGCTTCTGCATTTCTGGGGCCTGGAAGTCTGAGGTCAGGGCGGTGGGCTGGGTGCCCGGCCCCAGGCTGTGAGCAGGGTCTGTCCCAGCCTCCCCCAGCCTCTGTGGTCGCTGCTGACTTTGGCATCCCTGGGCTTGTAGATGCCACACTCTGATCTCTGGCGCATGGTCCCAGGGCATTCTGCCTACTTGGTGTCTGTGCCCATGGTCCCGTTCTGTAAGGGTCTTCACCCCAGTAGACCCTCACTTATATTAGCAGCAACTGCTGGCACCTCCCCAAGGCACAGGGTGGGTCTCAGCCTGGGAATCCGAGGTGGCTGCCCATGCGCATTGCCTGTGTCAGCATGGTCCACCGCTGTGGCTGTCCCCAGACCCAGTGCACGTTGTCCCCGGGCTCTCGGCAGCAGCACATGCCAGCCCCTGCCTTCACAGTCTTGATGCCACGGTCTCTGTGTTTAGTTTTTAGTTCTGCTGTGCAACTGAGGTGCAGATCTGAGGGTGTGAGAGCCATGTGTGTGCAGCCGGCGTCTGCTCCTGCAAACCCTCGGTGGCACATGCAGGCCAGGCTTGGTGCCACCACAGCGTGCTGCTGCAGCCTCACCTGCATTGCTTCACACTCACCTACTCCTGGTGGAAGTGACGCTGAGCACGCAGCTCAGCCCCCAGGAGTGGAGCCCTTCCCAGAGGGCCGCAGGCCTGAGGTTTCTGGAAAGTGGTAGGACTCTCCCAGGAGGGTCTCCACCCAGTTCTCTCAGCCACCCTGATGGCCCCGGTGGCAGGCCGTGACCCTCACTTTGTGTAATCACAGCCCTAGGTGTAGAGTCACCTTGGGGGAGAGATCCAGGCCAAGCAAGTGGTCAGATAGCTTTCTGGGAACCAGGGGTGGTGGGCTGACCCATGCAGCCCTCAGAGGGTGGTCTTCAGTGCTCCTCGCATTGCTCAGGGGTTTTAACTGTTAACTTTTTCTTATTTTTATGGAGGTTCAATGAACACAGTACTACTGGCAGACCTTTAGTTTCTCTAAGATTCCACCAAAAGATTGTTCCAGGCTCATTCAAGTTTTAGGGAAGGGAAGAGAACTGGGGACCTAGTAGCCGCCCAACTAGTACCCAATTGTAAGGCAGTTGAAGACTCAGTGAGACCAGTTGTGGTGGTCCATGCCTGTAATTCCAATGACTTGGGAGGCTGGGGCAGGAGGATTGCAGGTTTAAGGCCAGCCTGGGCAACTCAGCAAGACCGTCTCAAAATAAAAAGTAAAAAGCTTGGGCTGCATCTCGGTGGTGGAAGGCCCCTGGGTTCAATCCCTGGTACCGCCAAAAAACAAAACAGAATGTATAAACCTCAGTGTGAGTTTTGCTTCTCCTTTTTCTGATTTTAGGGAATGAACTTCATAGCAGGATATCTGATTCTCATAACGAAGAATGAGGAAGAGTCTTTTTGGCTCTTGGACGCTCTTGTTGGAAGGATACTGCCTGGTATGTTGGAGCCCCTGCTACGCCTTCCTACCCTGCCTCTGGGTTAGCCAGGCCAGCTGGCTGACCCTCCAGCTCTAGTGGAGGCACAGCCGTCCTCCTCAAGCTCCCAACATGGGCGTGGGCACCACTGGGCGTGGGGGGTGGTCTGCTGCACAGCATGGGTTTGGCTTTGACCATGCGTTCAGCTCTGCTCTTCCTCTGTTGGCCCTTCCCTAGGGAGTGGGGGACTTGTGGAGTCTGAGGATCACGCAGTCTGCCAGGGGCTGGCCTGGCTGCCCGTGTATTGGTCATTAGGTTTGTGAGTTCTCATCAGCACAATAGCAATCTCTTCTTACTACTTTTGGGGAAAATCACTCTTAAATCCGTATGCTTTTTAACTTCCTGACAAGTAAGAACAGCTACCAGCTTTAACAAAGCGTAGTGCAGACTGCATAGTGTGAGGTCACTTTGGGTAGAGAGGAAGAGCCAGAGCTGTCCCCATGGAAGAGGACGTGGGACAGCTGACTTCCTGTCCCACCCCAGTCTGACACAGGTGCTGGGAAGAGCACTCTGTGCCTGTCCCCGGGCAAGGGCATGAGATACGGATGCTCCACACATGTGTCCTCACTCCAGCCCAGGTCATTTGTGCCACCAGATAGCCAGACGGCCACAGCACCCCTTTCACAGAGGGTCTGCAGGCTTGGGGAGTGTGAGTGTGGGCCTGCTCGCAGGCTCGTGTGCCAGGTGAGGCAGTAGCACCTGGACCTCAGCCCGTGTGCCCCCTGGAAGGGCGCCTGAGCGCACCGTGGTGAGGAGAAGGCAGGCTGAGAGGTGATGCCTCCCTCACAGCAGCCAGGGCCAGGACAGAGGAGAGGGAACTGCAGCAGGTGCCGCTGCCTCCGGCCCTCGAGGGTGAGGCTGGTGTGCACCAGGTCAGCTCTGTCCTTCCCAATGGGCCTGGCATGGTCCAGGCCCTGTTCTGGGGTCTGGGAAGCACCAGTCCTGTCCTCGGACAGGTTCTGGACAGCAGCAGCACACCCTCTCATCCCAGTTGCTCAGATCAGCAGGAAACCATGTGGCACCAGCCCGTTGGAGCCCTTGGTGCCTCGCCCCCTCTCCAGGATGCCACTGCACAGAGCAGACTGTGGCTTCCCTGCAGCAAGAAGACTCCTTGTCTCCCAGAGGAGCCCTCTGTGGATCTGTGGCACTGCTGAGAGGGCAGGCTCTGGGATGAGCTGACGCCTGCATGTCCTGAACAGGAGAACATGTAGGTCAGAGGGGAGAAGGGCCAGGCTCCGGCTCCCCTCAGTGGGCAGCGGTGTCGAGCAGAGCTTCATCCCCACGTTGCTGCCTGCGTGGGTTCAGTTGAACCAAACTGCCACAGAACAGGTCTCGATTCAGACTCGGAACTCGGGTGAAACGTCAGCCAGTGAGAGGAGGTAGTCCTGCCACTGTGGAGTGCTCCAGGTAGCAGAGGCAGGGACACTGCACCTCCCAAGTCTTGTCCCGGGCAGCCTGTGTCCTGCTTTTCATCATCTCTTTTTTAATTATATGAGGGATATACATATAACATTTTCATTTGGAAAGTTAAAAAAAATCTAGTACCAATGATAGGATGACAGTGACAATCTTCCATGAATACATGCCATCTGTCTCCTTCAGAGGTGTTGAGAAAAACAGTCTAACAAAGTTGACTTGACGGACATGCCTAGTTTTCTCTACTGTCAAACCCTGAAGAAACAGATAATTCCTGTTTTATTTAATTATATTTTAAAATAAAGCTTAGCCGGGCACAGTAGCATGTATCTGTGGTCCCAGTTACTCGGTAGGCTAAGGCAGGAGGCTCGTTGGAGCCCAGGTGTTGGAGACCAGCCTGGATGATATACAAGATCCCATCTCAAAAAAATTGGTCTGGGGTGGATCTTGGCTGTTGAGTATGCTGGCCTGGCACACACAAGGCCCTGGGTGTGATTCCTGGCACCACAAAAACTTTTTCAAATAAAATCTTGCAGAAAATGGAAAATGATGATCCGCTCGTCAGCTCATGTTAGGAAGCCAGAACAGTGCGACGTCCTGCGCGTAGGCTCGTCTCCCTGAGGCACAGGGGCACGTCCCTGGTAACACACTCAGGGATTGAGCAACTGGAATCTAGAAATGGCTGTGAAGTGAGTTCTTTCTTTTTGTTGTTGTCGAAAGTCATTTTATCCCAGGAATGCCAGAATGACCTAATCATTTCAAAGAGTCCAGGGCAAGACAGGCCAAGAAAAGCTTAAAGAAGGAAACTGGCGGTTGATTGATGCTCAAGGTATGTGGAGTTAGTTTGTCTACGGGTAAAGACATGTGTGGAACAGAACTGAGAAGCCCAAGCCAACTGGTCTGTGGCTGCATCTGCCATCCGTTGGAATGTCTTGTATAAGGCACATCAATTAATGGAGAAATAACTGTTTAAAACACTATTCTGTGACAGTTGACTGTCTACATGGAAGAAAGCAAAATTAGGTCCTTATTCGATTCCAGATGGTTCAGAATTTCACAGTTAAAAAGTCAGAGCTCTGAAGCTCAGAGAAGAAGAGCGGTTTGTGAGGCTGCAGTGAGATGAAATTCTGGAAGGCAACTCAAAAGCATGGAAGACACTGAGAATCTCAGTCACATGAAAATAAGCCAGTCTTGGAGACAGATGACAGAAGCAAGTGGCTGCTGGTTTGGAGAAGACATCTGGTCCATGCGATGAACCAAGGGCTGTGGATCTGGATTGTCTGAAGAATTCCTAAAGGTCTGGGAGAGGACAGCATCAGGGGAAGGAAATGGCCAACAGTTGATTCACAGACAGGCACCTGGATGGCCCACGGACTTAGGCAGAGGTGGTGCGGCCTTCAGCAGGCCAGTGCCAAGCAATGTCCCCAGCTGTGGAGCCACTGAAACCTGGCAGTAGTCATCTGCATCCCTGGGAACAGGTGTCAGTCAGTGCAATTCAAGAGGAGGACCGTGGAGAACAGAATGAGCAACCTGCACACCCCCTACCAGAGACTTCTGCACTGTGGCCAGTCCTTGGCCGCCCCCGACTGTACTCAGCCCAGGTTTTGGGCCAGAGCCCCTCTCATCCCAGTTGCTCAGATCAGCAGGAAACCATGTGGCACCAGCCCGTTGGAGCCCTTGGTGCCTCGCCCCCTCTCCAGGATGCCACTGCACAGAGCAGACTGTGGCTTCCCTGCAGCAAGAAGACTCCTTGTCTCCCAGAGGAGCCCTCTGTGGATCTGTGGCACTGCTGAGAGGGCAGGCTCTGGGATGAGCTGACGCCTGCATGTCCTGAAAGACTGGTGTGACCTGGTTTCCCCTGAAATGCAGGGGAACAGGTCCTTGATGACACACCTCAGCTCTGGCCAGCAGGAGGGCCAAGATGAGCACCAAGGCACACTCTGCAAGGCCACAGCTCCAGTCCAGGAGCAGAGGAGGGTTGGTGTGGGCTGGTGGTGCCCTGATGGTCTCAGCCAGGGCTGAGCAGGACTCCACACTCTTCTGGTGGGCTTCCCCCATGACTGCCCATCCCGAGCCTGGTGTTTCCTGGGGGAGTGCTGCCCTTGCTGTGTATGAGTTGGGCCTCCGTGTGGGCATCCAACTACAGACAAGCCCAGCTCCACCACGGAACAGTCAGGTAGCACAGACTCCGCTCCGACCTCTTCTCCCAGCGTGCTGTCTCTGGCAGAGTAGAGGACCCAGCAGGGTGGCCAGCCAGGGCCTTCTAGTGGAGCCCAGCATGCCCGGGTGCCTCACCTCCCAAAGGAGGGTCTGGGACTTGATCTCCCTGCCAGGCAGAGGAGGGATATTACATGTTTTTTTTTTTTTCCCTTAGTTAAATTCTATAGTATTGTGCTCTAAAAAAAAATCAATCTATCATTTCTATGATAATAGGCTTAGGACTTGGCAAAAAATACAAAGAATAAAAATGTTTTATGTTTACTCATTTTCATAAGAGACAGGGTCTTATTATGTTGTGTTGGGACTGCAGGTGTGTGCCATCATGACTGGTTGAATCTCTTTTAAAATCTCTATTTTTATTGCTATCTAGTGAGCTACTTACATATTTGATTTTTTTTTTTTTTTTTAAATGTTTCAGTACCAAGGGTTGAACATAGGGGCACTGAAACACTAAACCCCTCATCCCTGGCCCTTTGTTATTTTTTATTTTTTGGTACTGGGGATTGAACTCAGGGTCACTCAACCACTGAGCCACATCCTTAGCAACCCCCCCGCCTCCTTTCTTTATGGTGCTGGGGATTGAACCCATGGCCTTGTGCATGTGAGGCAAGAACTCTACCAACTGAGCTAGATTCCCCAACCCCCAGCCCTGTTTTGTATTTTACTTAGAGACAGGGTCTCACTGAGTTGCTCAGTGCCTCACTGTTGCTGAGGCTGGCTTTGAGCTTGCTATCCTCCTGTCTCAACCTCCTGAGTCTCTGGGATTACAGGCGTGCGCCACTGCACCCAGCTTATTTTAAAAATTTTGACAGTCTTGCTGAGTTTCTTAGGGCCTTGCTTAGCTGCTAAGGCTGGCCTTGAATTTGGAATCCTCCTTCTTCAGCCTCCAGGGATGCTGAGTTACAGGTTTGCACCACTGTGCCCAACTGAGTTAGTTCTTTTTGAAGGCAGGAGAATAGCAAGTTTGAGGCCAGCCTCAGCAACTTGAACCCCATCTCAAAATAAAAAAAAAAAATATTTAAAAAGGGCTGGGAATGTTGCTCAGTGGTAGAGTGCCATAGGGTTCAAACTACTACTACACAAAAACTAAGTAAACCTAAAAAAAAAAAAAATGCAATGTCCCCTCATCTTGGGGACAGGCCCCAAGACCCCTCCCCTATGCCTGGAACCATTGGTAGTACTGAGCCTGCTGTTTCACCTTACACACAGACCTGGGATGAAGTGTGTAAGTCGGGCAGAGGAGAGATTAGCAGTGACCCATGGCAAGGTGACTATAACTGTATACGGTGATAAAGGCTGGGTGAAGGAGGCCTCCCTCTATGCTCGCCTTTCTTGAGGCCATGAGGCCACGGAGCAGGGTGATGAAGTGGCCCTGTGGCAGAGACTGGGAACCATGGCTGTTGCTATTGACGGTGCGGCTGAGGGTGGTCCTCCTCGGGGGAGAGGTCCCTGAGTGGGGAAGGGCAGCTGCTGGTCCTGTGGCCCTGTTGTGCCCTGGGTGGACACACTGTGCCCGCCTTCCCTTTGTCTTGGGCCATGCAGTGTGGTGTCCTTGTGGGCCATGTTTTGCATGCTTGGGCCAGAGACCTTAACGTTGACACTTAGGGTCAGGAGTGTGCTGTGTAGAAGGCCCTCGCCCCAGCGAAATGTCTTCAGGGCTCCGTTTCACTCCCTTCCTCCTCCATCCCTGGGAAGCAGCACAGTTTTGGGGGGAGGAAGGCTCCTGGGTCCTGCTCCTGAGGGGTGGGAGTGGGGGGCTGAGACCCCCTAGACTCAGCCCTGGGTCCTGGGGCGTCCGTGAATTGGGATGTGGCCGTGCACACTGGGTATCAGGTGAGGGTGAGTGGGGGTGCAGCCCTGGGCATCAGTTCTGGAGGACATCGATGCACTGATGGAAGGGCAAGGCGCCCCCCCTGGGACAGAGGCCACATGCTTCCTATGCCCCAAGTGTGTCACAGCTGTACCTGGGCCACCCTCCATGACACAGTGTCCCCATCAGGTGCCCAACACTGCCTGTGCCCAAGGTCCATCTGGTGGGTGCAACTGGGTGCCAGTGTGGATTGCTCTGGAGTTGGGGTGAATTGCGTGGCCTGTTTCTGTGGCCACAGTTTTATGCCCATTGGGTGGTTAGCAGCCCCAAGTGGCATCAGGTCTTAATGGTTCTGTCGTTTTCCTTTGGGGTTACTTGGGGTCGAGCTCAGCCACAGGTGGCTTAGCACAGAGGCCCGCCGCCTCTCCCCCTCCCACCTTCAGCAGGAGCCCGCGAGGTACCGCCGGGCCTGCTGTGGCCCTGTGGATGGGGAGGTTTGACCCACCTTTCATCCTCGTCTGAGAGCACAGCTGGAGCCCATGTGGGAGTGTGATGCCAGCCCTCATCGTGCTTCTCGTGGAACGCTGGCCGGAAGAGAGTCCAGCAACGGAGGACAGGTCACAGGCACTGGAGATGCTGTGCTGCTGTCTTTGTGGCCCCTCTCAGGTGTGACCTCAGCCTTGGGGCTCCAGGGCACTAGTACCTGGCCCAGCTGTGCCTGCTGGCCTCAGACCCTCATGGAACACCAGCACTGCAGCCCTGCCAGCACCTTCCACACTCAGGGAAGGGAAGGCGCCATGAACTTACTTTAATCCTGCCCTTGGAGACCGCCACAGCCCTCAGCCCCATGAGGTCAGGGTATGAGTTTAGCGCCTCTATTTATGGAAGTTGTTCTCAGCCTCTCTGTCCTGGGACCAAGGTCGCACTGCACCTTGTAAATCGCCTCTTGCTTGTTGCTCTGCTCAGCTCAGCTCAGCTCCTTGCAGGGTCTGATGACGGATGTGGGGTTGCTGTGCCTCTCTTCCAGCTGAACAGCATGCTCTCGGTCACGAAGGCAAAGACAATAAACAGCTCACGCTTTGAAGAGATACGTGCAATATCAAGATAGGAAGGGGGTTCAGAAATCCCTGGCATTTCTTAAAATCTCCAGGTACTTTCACTTCAAACATCCTTGTTGTTTGCTTACTCTGAGAATCAGTCATGTGCCGGCGTCTGTAATGACTGTTTCAACCAAGACACCAAGTCCGCCCAGCCGCACCTCCTACCTGGTTAAGCAGCCACGTGGCAGGTGGCTAGAAGGCCTGCTGGGCATGCAGCATCTGCTGCGGCTTCTGCTGTGACAGTATGAGGATAGCCTACTGTGTTCTTTTTTTTCAGAGGGAGTACTGGGGATTGAGCTCAGGGGCACTGAGCACTGAGCCATATCCCGACCCTATTTTGTATTTTATTTAGACAGGGTCTGACTGCATTGCTTAGTGCCTTACTTTTGCTGAGGCTGGCTCCCGAGCTACTGGGATTACAGGCGTGTACCACCATGCCTGGCTACTGCATTCTTCTATATCACAAATTGAGCATTAAAACTTACTACAGTATGTCACATTGACTTTAAAAATCAAGTAGGAGGGGCTGGGGTTGTGGCTCAGTGGTGGAGCGCTCGCCTAGCATGCACGAGGCACTGGGTTCGATCCTCAGCTCCACATAAATGTAAAATAAAGGGGCTGGGAATGTGGCTCAAGCGCTAGCGCGCTCGCCTGGCACGCATGCGGCCCGGGTTCGATCCTCAGCACCGCATACAAACAAAGATGTTGTGTCCGCCGAAAACTAAAAAAAAATATATTAAAATTCTCTCTCTCTCTCTCTCTTAAAAAAAACAAAAAAACAATGGTTTCTTTAAAAAAAAAGGTAAAATAAACTAAAAACTAAAGAATAAATATTAAAAAAAAAATCGAGTAGGAAACCCAGAAATTCTGTGGTAAGACAAATGTCCATTCAAAGGAAGATAGAATGCTATTTAGAAGTGTTTGAGTGAATTCTGTTTTTGTTGGGGTAAAACACAGACAGCATGAAATTCACGCGTAACCATTTCTGTGTTCGCCTTAGGAGCATTAGTGACACACTGAATTTGGGGGCCCCTGGGATTAAGGAGAACTTGCTCCTGCTAAGAGAGAGAAGTCCAAGGGCTGCAGCCCCCACCCTGACAGGCTCTAAAGCAGCCAGGTGTGGAGATGCCCGGCCCTGGCCTGTTTGGCACCGGCCTGTGGACTGCACGTTCCTGTCCATGGTCTCGCCTCTCCACCTGGTCTCCTTTAAAGTCCTGCTCACTTTCAGGTGTTTTGAAGACGGGACTTTTGAACCCATTAAGTTTCTTCTGTCTTCCTTCAAAGCCAGCTTTGAATAAAACCTTTTTTTCCTACCAAATTGACTATGAATATTTTGCAAGTAGCAGGGGCTGCAGTCTCACCTTCTGCCCCCATTGCTGTGCCTGTCACCTTGTGTCTGCATTAAGTGCTGACTCCCCTCCCCTCCACCCGCTCATCTGTCTCTGAGTGAGGACTTAGGGACCTCTTAGAAGAGGGGTCATAGGGCTAGGGTTGTGGCTGAGTGGTAGAGCGCTTGCCTGGCATGTGTGAGGCCCTGGGTTTAATTCTCAGCACCACATATAAATAAAATAAAGGTCCATCAACAACTAAAAAATATTTAAAAAAAAAAAAAAAAGGGGTCACATAGTGTGTGTCTTTCTTGGACAGGCTCATTTCACTGAGCACGGTGTCCTCAAGAACCGTGACCTGTTGTGGCCTGTGTCAGAATCCCTCTCATTTTAAGTCTGGATAATGTTTCATCATATGGACATCTGTCCGTGTGTCTATTGATGCACACCCCTTAGCAGTTGTGAACAGCACAGATGTGAACACCTGGGTGTGCAAACATCTTTTTCAGTCTCTTCCTGCCTGAAGATTTTAACTAATGCCCAATGGGACCTGAGTGGGTGGCATCTGGCCCAGACCCCTGGTGCCCATGGCTGTCCCGGGGGCCTTGCTTTGGGAGTTGCTCACAGGTGCTCCTGGACTATGGTCCTTCCTCCTGGGAGAGCCCCGTCTCCACTCCCAGCTCAGAGGCAAGCGAGGCCTTGGGGGCACCAGTGGCTTGCCAAGTGTGCCTGAGTCTCTTGGTTTCCCTCCCCCTCTGGCAGATTACTACAGCCCTGCAATGCTGGGCCTGAAGACTGACCAGGAGGTCCTTGCGGAACTGGTGAGGCTGAAGATGCCCGCGGTGGCAGCCCTGATGGAGGGACATGGCGTGCTGTGGACCCTGGTGGTGTCCCGCTGGTTCATCTGCCTGTTTGTGGACATCCTGCCGGTGGAGGTGAGCACCTCCATGGGCCCCGAAGCATGTGGGCTGCTGCCTGAGTGACGTGGGTCTATGTCTCCACAGACAGTGCTGCGCATCTGGGACTGCTTATTCAACGAGGGCTCCAAGATCCTCTTCCGGGTGGCCCTGACTTTGATCAAGCAACACCAGACATTCATCCTGGAAGCCACAAGCGTTCCAGACATCTGCGACAGGTTCAAGCAGATCACCAGAGGGAGCTTTGTGACCGAGTGCCACACATTCATGCAGGTGAGTTTTGTAGGTGATGACCCATGGGGGCCCCCCCTGCCTGCCTGTGTGCCGGACCTGGGCTTCTACTGGGCCCCTCTCCCCGGGAGGACTATGCCCTCTTCCCGCTGTAGCCACCCTTCTCTCCTGTGGCCTGCCGAGGTGGGGGCATGATTCCCCTCTTACCCATCCATGTCCGAGGCTGCCTCTGACCACGTAGAGGGTCAGATCAGGGTTCCCTGGGTCAGAAGGGTGGGCACAAGAACATAGACCCGCTTACCGGTGCTTTGGTGTCCTGGGGGAGTGGCACCATGTTATCCAGGCTTGGCCTTACTATGTCCTCTCACTCTCCTGACCATACTGCCTGCAGCAGGCCATTTCTTTTCAACCTTCATGCTTTTGACTTCACCCTTGGCCAGATGGGCTGCCCCTGTGTGTGGTGCCTGGAAGGGCGGCTCCCTGCCGAGTCCCAAGCCTGACTGTGCAGACAAACTCAAGTGGGGTCTGCACTGACAAGCGTTGGGGGGGGGGGGTTGTGGGGGCTGGGCAAGGCTGTGAGCAGAGCCTCTCAGTGGGCATGACCCTGTCAGGACCAGACCAAAGGCAGAGCTTAAGGGGCCTGTTGTAACACCGTGACTTTTTATCTTGAGATACAGATTCAAAGGGAGTCCCGGAGGCACCTTGGGGTCCATCCCACCTAGCCTTGGTTAGGTACCAAGAGAGCTGGAGGCAGTTTTGGCAGCCCTGCAAGCTGGCTGTGGGACTGCCTGCTCCCTTGTGGTGGGTGGTGCCGGTGAGCGGCCCGGCTGCAGGAGGTCAGCCCTTTGACGTGGGCACAGCCGATGGCAGGTGGGCTCCTGCCCCCAGAGGCTCTGGCAGAGGCTGCACCTTCCTTCTCTGCTGTGTGGCCGAGTGTGGCCACCGCCTTGTGCAAGTGGTTCTGCTGGGACCAGACACACCCCCCATGCACAGGACCAAAGAGGAGACTGAGTGCTGTGAGGAGCAGCAACTCATGTGAACCCCTAACCTAGAGTTAACGCCACTGTGGCTAGCTCTGGTCACCAGGAACTAGTGCCTTTGGAGGGGCAGTGTTGGCCCTTGGAAGCTGCTGCTGGCTCAGGGCTCCTCCAGGAGATGTTCCAAGGGAAGCGCAAGCAAGCACAGGGCTATGGTCACTTTCATGGAGCACTGAGAACACCAGCCCTGGGGAAGCCGCAGTGCAGTCCATGGGCTTAGCCCAAGTCAGGGGCAGAGACTTGCAGAGAGAGATCCCAGAGCCTTCCCTCCAGGCTGACAGCAGCCTCAAGGACCTCACGGGCCTCACCCACCGAGTGCCCCAGGATGGTTCTCCTAGGTAGCTGCCAGCGGCCCCTCCTGTTCCAGAAGCAGCCTTTTGTTCCTGCTGCCCTGAGTGTTTTATAATCCACGCTGGAAAACACAATTTTTTTACACGACCAAATATTTCCACTGTGGGCTCTATGGGTTTTAGGGTCCAAATGTTCTTCCCATTGGTGAAAATAGGCTGTGGCCGTGAATGGTTTGTGTTAGACGGCGTCAGGCAACCTCAGGATCACTTCAGATTGTGATGCCAAGTTAGAAAGACCCACTCAGAAGTTTCTGGGTAAGAATGGTGCTGCCATGAGGAGGTAGGGTATCAGGGATGCCCAGGGCAGACAGGGCCAGCCTGGCAAGGGCCTGGGCAAACCCTGTGATGCTGTAGCCAGCAGAGCTCTGCCCCCTGCTCAGGACACAGTGTGGGGGCCTGAAGCGCCCTCAAGTCTCAGCTGTGTCCAGGGCATGACCAAGTGCCAGCCCCAAATGCCCCAGGACCAGGAAGCACTCACAGGGCTTCCATGCTGCCCAGGCAGGGCACATGGGGACATCTAGGGGCTGGTGGTCTTGGCTCTTCTCAGGGTTGCTGCAGTTTTCGAGTATGTGGAACCAGGGAGGACACCCCTTTGCCCCCCAACAGCCACAGTGCTGTGCACATGGAGCCAGGCCCTCGCCCAAGTCCCACCTCCACGTGTGCTAGCTCTGGCCACTGGGCTCCCAGCCCCCCTCACACCTTTGTGGTGTGCCGTGTCCCTTGCTGAGCACAGGGACCAGAGGGGTGTGTGTGGCCCAAGATGGCCAGTGTTGCATGCAGGTGACCCCTGGCTTCCAGGTGAACTGACAGCCCGGCCCTGCAGTGTCTACCAGGCTGACTACTCAGGCCCACTGTGAGCATGGCTGCCTAGGTGTTGGGGGTGGAGGGCAGGGGCTGTGGTCATTGTGGGCCTGGCCCCCACTAATTGGCCCTGCAGGGAAGGCCCTGCCCCGTGAGGTAGCTCTGGTGAGCACTGGCAGGTGGCTTTGTCCTGGTGCCGTTCCAGATAAGGTGGGAATATATATTTTTGGCTGATTTGTTTTTAAATTATTTCTCTTCCAGAAAATATTCTCAGAGCCAGGGAGCTTGTCCATGACGACCATCACCAGGCTGCGTGAGAGCCATGGTGCTGCACTGCTGGCACAGGGCTGACAGCTCCCTCTTCCCTGCCCCGCTGCCCGTGGGCCCATGACCATTCCTACTGCCCCCTTGTCAGGTTGTGAATGCCTGATGTCACTGCACTGCAGCGGTAGGTCTAGAGAGACCTCCGATCCTGTCACTCAGGCTGTGAGATCAGATTCCAACAGCATTTATATTTAATAAAGTGTGAGCACTGAGTTTGTGGTGTCAGCTGGTCAGCGTTTCGGCGCTATCACTGAGGTCAGCCTAGTTACCGCTCTTGCCTGTGGGGGAGTGCTCACCGTGTGGCCCCTTAGGGTTGCAACCGACAAGCAGGGCTCTCCCAGCAGCACCCAGGAAGGCCACACCATCACTTGGAACCCCTCTGACTCCTCCAGGAGGCCAGGCTGACCTTCATGAGAGCCTGCATGCCAGCCTGGTCCTGTCTAGACTCATTCTGACCTTGAGAGGGGCTCCTCGCAGGGTGGGCAACACCACTCCACCTGGCCCACCTGACCGAGATGCACTGCTAGAGCAGCAGTTTGTGGGGGCCTCGGCTTGTCCCCATGTCTGCTTCTGCAGTCTGGGTGCCTGGTAGTGCGGGCCTGTGGAAGAACACCAGTCAGGAAGCCTGGGCTCTGGGCCACTTGCAGGCCATCCTTAAAGCCAACCCCAAGGTCCCAGGATCCTCAGTGCCAGAGTTCTGCTTCAGAAAACAGAAGGCGAGCTTCTGCGCCCTGAGCTCTAGGTTCAGCAAGTGGTGGCTCCCACTGCACCTCATGGAGACCAGAGGAAAGGCAGGCTTCAGAGCCGAGTGTCTCTCCAGTCCCAGGCCTGCCTTCCCAGGTGCAGCAGCTCTCACATTCTTTGGCCTTTTATACCTCTCGTAAGCAGACAGGAAACTGGTGAGACCAGCACCCCACGGAACAGAGGGGCCAGACACCCAGTTGCCTGTGCCTCAGCTAGGGCCCAGGGCACATGTGGTTTTGACACAGGTGGCTTTGCCTGCAGAGCCCAAGAGAGCATGGATACTGCTGCCATTTGAGACCCAGTGTTCTCAGGTTATTGCCCAAGAGGCTAACTATCCCAACAGCTCTCCTGAACCAAGGACACAGGCCCCGATCCAGGGCTGCTGCCACCGCCAGTACCCACCGCCTCCCGTCCACAGACCTCTAGCAGCATGCTCCCTCAGCAGCCACCACTGAGGCATGCGTGGCGCTCGGCAGACACGAGGTGCAGACAGACGAAGAAAGAGACTTTTTATTAGCATCGTTACAGGCAGCGTGTCGCGTGTGAGCTGACCCTCAGTGTGCAACCCACCCAAGCCGCAGCGCAGACGTCAGTGGTGAATCTATTATTGTACGCAGTGCAGAAACAGAATCACCCTGAATGCCGACAGAGGACGGAAAATCACTTTACAAAAAGTAAATAAAAATAACACCCTTTCTACACTTAGAAAAGTGCCAGCTCTTGGGCGGCAAAACATGGGAACAATGAGGGTCACGCCCAGCCTGGACACTGCCTCGCCACATGCGGGCCAGCCCTCCTGAAAAAGCTTAACCTGAGCATCCAGGTGTTCACCCTTGGTACCTCCACGGTAACACTTTCCTGGCTCTATTATGTTTAATTTTCTAAGCATGCCAGTCTCACCATCAGCCACCCTGCACCAGGCCCAAGTGTTCAAACCAGAGACTTCCCTTTGTAAGGCTTAAATCTGAGCAAAGAATGAAAAAACCAACACCAAATCTTAACAGTCGAATCAAAGTGGAGCCGTGCCACATTAGCAAAGCACTCTTGCCTCTTTAGAGTTCTACTTTGGTAAATATTAACGTTTAACCAGTTAGCAAAATATTTAACCCAGTTAGCAAAATTAACACCGTCATTTCAATAGTTACTCTTTTTGTGCATAGTAAATGTTGCAGGATGAACTTCACATTTGATAAAGCAGATTTGAAAACGGTTTGCCAGAAAGTGTGCCCCGCTCCACACGAATCTAAGCTTGGGGACACGAGAACAGACCCCCTGCCTCTGCTGTCTGCGGCACACCTGCCAGTCTGCTAAATTGTCTGGTAGCCAGCGTGACTCCTCTTCCTGCCGATGAGGTAGGCAATGAGGACGATGAGGACGAGCCCAGCCAGGGCGCCCCCCACAGCTATGGGGATCAGCATGTTGTTCCCATCCAGCAGACACTCTTCCACTGCAAGACAGACAGCCACACACCACTCACCAAAGGACCTGCCTCCACTTGCTGGTCCTCCCCAGCCAGAGGGGCAAGAGGAGGCCAGGTGAGAGGTCTCAACTCCAGACAATTGTCACTACATAAGTCATTACAGGGTGGGACACTCTCCATTTGGCTGGGAAACCACAGCCGTGCTTCCCCCCCCAAGATGAAAGGTTGGTGCCAAAGCAGGTCATGCTGGCCACCTGTGCTGCACCCAGCTCCAGACCCCTCACACTCAAGTGTTCACAGGAGGACAGCCTCCATTTCTAAATGAGACTGCCTCTGTTAAGGGAGTCCTCTGCCCCACCTGTCAGGCAGCTTGGGTCCTTCTAAAGCAAGGGGAAGGGATTTCTCCAGAATCTCTCTATTGGAAGAACAGAGTTTTCTTTGAGAGGGAAAAGGAAGCCACCGTCCCCAACTCCTGGCAGTGTGACTGGGAGAGGTCTGATGCGCTTCTACTGCCACCACTACGGCGAATGCCACCCTCAGGACCACTTACCAGACCCAAACCTGTCGCCTTCCACCTGGAAGGCCTGGACCCACACTCTGAAGATGTTGAGGGAGAAGGCCTGGGTGACACGGATGTGCTCCTCAGTGTTGCACTTGTAGGAGTGCCCGACGGTGGCCTGTAGGGCTCTCAGTGAGGTGTTGGTGGCTCTGAAGGTGGGCTCTGCAAAGCAGTCAAAAGTCTGAGTCCCCAGGGCCACAGTGGCTGGGGCCTGGTGAATTGTGGGGTCTTACCTTTGGCGTCAGGAAAAGTTGCATTCAACTGGATCCCTTGTAGGAAAAACCGGCTAGAGCTTGCATTCTGAGAGGGAAGAGAGTGCACAGTCTGTCAACCCACAGGTCCCTGGTGGTCCACTGGACTTCCCACATTCCTAGCTTTAGGACAAAGCTGCTTATCTTATCATCTGAAGGAGCACCATGACTCTAGGAACACAAAGTTTGCTTAGTTCCTTCCAGACCATTTCAAAGATTCAGATTCTCTAATAAAATTGGGTTTGCAGGAGCCATCTTACAAAAAAGTAAAATTGTTTTGAATGGGTACAGTTAAAAAAGAGCCCCAACTATCAAATCAGTCCATTTGCACAGCATCAGATGGTTGTGAGTGGTTCCAACACTCTTCCCACTTCACTGGCTGACTGACACCATGGCTCCTTCCAAGCACAGGGCACAGGACATGGATCACCACTGCTAGGAGATAGGTGGCAGCACCTGGCCCCAGGAAAGAGTGGCCTGGCCCCTAGTCAGCAACCTGTGCCCTGCAGGCACCCTGGCTTTCAGGCCTACACAGGTCTTTCTGAAATGTCCGCAGAATAAATGAACAATGGTGTGCCTCAATGAGAAAGTGGGAGGGGAACTCAGGAAGATGCACACAGGGTGGCAGAGTCTGCGCACTGGAAGCAGAGCTGTGACTCTGGACTCTGAACCACAGACGCCGGGCTTACACACAGCACCCTGCTAGTGGGCCAGAACAGCGGTCCTGCCTGACACTGTTGCAAGGGCATGAGAAAGGCAGCAGGAGGAAGACCCCAGTGAGCAGCCCTAATGCTGAAGGAGCAAAGAGCCTCACCATCCCAAACCACAAGACCAGGACCATGCCCTTCTTGCTCTGCAGCTCCAGGGTCACTAGGAGGGAACTGCAGTTCCCGCTGGCTGTGGTCTCGTTTGGGTTGATGTTCAGCACACTAGTCACCGTCTGAAAGAAAAGCAAACAGGTCACGACCTCAGGCCCTGGGCCCAGGCTAACACCTCACGTCAGCCAAACCCCAGGGAACGCTGAGCAAATGTCCAGGTCCTACAATGTTTCCCACTGTTTCCAACACACTCAGAATGCTGGGCGGTGTGGCCTTACACCAGCCCCACTCCCTCAGAGCTGCACACTTTTTTCTTAAAAAAATTCTTACCTGATTTTCGAAACGTGGTCTCACTGCATGCCCAGGCTGGCCTTTTAATTCCTGGGCTCAAGCCATCCTGTCTCAGTCTCCCAGGTAATGCAGACAACAGGTGTTTGTACCACACCTGGCTCAGCCACACTTTAAAACTCAAGCCAGCACCCTTTCTCCCAGGGAATAATAAAAACTGATACCTAAATGAGTGTCAGCAGTTCAGGGGAAATGCAGTGCACCCCCCAGGACTGACACTTTCTCTCTGAGGGGTCCAACAAGCACTGTAGGCCGACAGGGTGGCGGGCACAGTGCTCTGCAGTGAACCCGACTTGGGGCAACACCCTCTCCATGCACTCTCCCTACCGTGTTGTCCCTCCGGGCGTAAGTGACGTTCAGCTGCAGCCCCATGCTGGCCAGCAGGCAGGTCCCGTTGTCACCACTCACGTTGTACCTGGACACGGAGGGGCTCTCAGCGGGCACAGGGCTAGGCGAAGGGCTGGGTGGAGCAGGTGGCAGGGCAGTTGGGGAAGGCTCAGGCTTGTCCTGCTTGCAGCGTGACTCTGCAGGGATGTTGGAGGGGGTGCAAGTTCAAAGCCCAGCTCTCTGGTAATGACTGCTAGCTCACCTGAGGCCAAACTCAGAACTGAGAACCCACTGTAGACCCCTAGTCTCTTCTCAGAGGTGACTGCCCCCCAGAGGACAGCATGAGGTCATGCTCTCTTAGGCATACGACAGAAGCAGGTCACACAGTGGACTCAGGGGAGCAGACCAGGTGGGTATGCTAGAGTATCCTCTATGCACCGGGTGCTTCACTTCAGCCAAGGCAGTGGGTCACTATGCCACCGTGTGGCCTGTCACCAGAGAACACACGTGCAAGGCCCTCTTTTTGGACATGTGCCCCACAAATGTGACTTTTGGTTGTTCATTCGCTCTAAGCGGTCTCCTACCAGGCACTGTGCTAGCACTGACAGAGAGGACAGCAGAGGTCCTGGCCTCCCAGGCTCAGCAAGTGGAGCAGCATAAGCATAGGCGCTGACCATGTCTGCCAGTTGGGACAGGGCAGCTTCCCTGAGGACCCCAAACAGGGACTCAAGGTGAACAGGCCAGC